CCCCCCCCCCCCCCCCCTCCCTCCCCCCGCCTCCTTCTCTCTCCCCCTCCCCCAACATATGAGCTCCATGAATGCCCGCTTCAAGAACCTAGTGGGTTCGAAACGCAAGAGTTCCTCCTCACAGAATAGTCCCTCGCAGCCGCCGCCGCCATCGTCCCAGGGCAACTCGGCCCCCCCCACCAGTAGCCAACAGCGCCCAAGCTCGTCCTTGTCACCGCAGAATTCGAGCAGCTCGTCACTCCCCATGAACCCCCAGAACCCCTTGGGCCGCCCGCCCTCGTACACATACGCTCCCCCAGGGCCGGGCGGGCTGGGTGCGCCGCATCAGCAACAGCAGCAACAGCAACATGGACGGCCTGCGAGCCCGTTGCCACCCATCAACACGAGCACGCCAGGCTATCCGCAGCAGCAACAGCAGCCCGTGGGCTACCCGCCACACGCAGGCCCGCCTGGTTATCCCCCGCAAGGCCCTCCAGGCGCGCAGTATGGCCAGCAACAGGGCTACGGGGGTGGTGCGCCTCCGCCTGTGCCCCATGGTCCGCCCGCGGTATACAACAGGCCATCTGGGCCAGCAGAGGTGGCGGGCGAGGGGCGTTCCAAGGCACAGCTCATTGTGGGCATCGACTTTGTGAGTAGCCCAGACTGTCCTCGGGCCTGAAAGGCGGCTTACTCACGCACAATCATACAGGGCACAACCTTCTCGGGTGTCGCATTCGCATTCGCAACCAACACCGAGGCCAAGGAAGATATCATCACCGAGTGGCCTGGTGCAGGCAACCAAACAAAGCAGAAAGTAAGCACGACTTGGCACCGACCTACCTATGAGTCTGATCCCTAACGAAGCTGCAAGATCCCCACGGTGCTTTACTACGATCAGTACCAGAAGGTAGTAGGCTGGGGACCAGACATTGCCGACGCTCTGGCGCCCACAGGCTACCCCAAGCCTGGCGTGCAAAAGGTTGAGTGGTTCAAGCTGCAATTGATGCTCTCTGGCAACACCTATATCGACCCCATCAACCTGCCCCCGCTACCCCCAGGCAAGTCTGAGATTGACGTGGCCGCCGACTACCTCTTCCACCTGCGACAAGCGATGCGAAATCAACTGCAAAAGACGCTTGGTGAAGTCTTCAACCGTGAAGAGCGCAATATCCGATACTATCTGACCGTACCCGCCATTTGGAATGACGCTGGCAAGGCGGCAACGCGTGCTGCCGCCATCCAGGCTGGATTCCTCCGTGACGAAAACGATAACAGGCTAACACTCATCACCGAACCAGAAGCCGCTGCCATGTTCTGCTCCAAAACTGGTCTTCTCAACCTCAAGATTCATGATGCTGTGCTGATTGTTGATTGTGGTGGTGGCACAGTCGATTTGATCGCGTACGAGGTCGAGGAGGAGAACCCTTTCTCTGTCGCCGAGTGCACAGCAGGATCTGGTGATTCTTGCGGCTCAACGGCGCTGAACCGAAACTTTAGCAACATTCTACGAGCAAAGATTAGGAAGATGAAACTACCCGATGGTTCAAAGACGGCCGGGAAAGTGTACGCCAAATGCATCATGGATTTCGAAAACAGGATAAAGGCCGACTTCCGAAACAATGGACAAAAATGGGCCGTCGATGTTGGCATTGAGGCCGAGTTTCCTGAGGCTGGCATCGAGGAGGGTTACATGACGTTCACCAACGAGGAGATTCTGCAATGCTTTGAACCTGTCGTGAACCGAATCTTGGAGCTCGTCAGGAACCAGATTATAGCCATTCAAGCGCAAAACAGGGCATTACAGGTGAGACATGTATCCGTTGCTTACACATATTCCGCGCTAACCATAGTGTAGAACGTGCTCGTGGTCGGTGGTTTCGGAGCATCAGAATACCTCTTTCAGCAAATCAAGCTCCATGTGCCACCACAATTCCAATCCAAGGTCGTCCGGCCCATGGACTCGGTCGCGGCCATTGTCAAGGGCGCCGTTACAGCTGGTATCACCGAACGCATTGTCACACACCGTGTCGCTCGTCGACATTACCTCATGGCAACTCTGCAACCCTTCAAAGAGGGTCATCACCCTGAACAATATCGTGTGCCATCTCTGGATGGCAAGGACCGATGCAAGTACACTCGCCAAATATTCGTACAAAAGGGACAAAAAGTGAAGATTGGCGAGCCAGTCAAAGTCTCGTTCTTCAGACAAGTCGCCCCTGGTGCCACTCTCATGTATGAGGATATCTTGTATGCCTGTGACGATGATGTTTGTCCAGAGTACACCAAAGATCCTCGTGAGTCAACCACGAACCCCATTCTCTCGCAACGGCTAATTCTGTTCAGGCATCAAGGAAGTCGTCACCCTCACCTCTGACCTTTCACGGAAGAACCTGGAAAAAGACTTTGAACGTATGGACACCCCACAAGGTACCTTCTACCGTGTATATTTTGACATTTACCTCACACTCGACGGTTCTGAATTCAACGCCGAGCTGGTCTGTCAAGGGGAAGTCATGGGTCGCTGCACAGCTAGATTCAGGTAATCTGATCTACGGTATACAATTCACTTGGCCGATCGATTTGCCCTCCATTCCTACCATGGCCAAAAATATAATTTGCGCTACCGGCTTGCTCAGTCAGCAGGTAAGGAGACTCACAGTAGAAGGGGTGTGGGTACATTCATGCTGATGATGATGTGTGCGTGTATGTGTGTGGTGTTCTTTGTTTCTTCATAGCTTTAATTGTTGATCTCAACGACATACCCCCCAAATGTTCAATGAAAGCTACATCCTGGATCACCGCACCTTTGTTCCTGATGCCTTTGTCTCAACCAAAAAAAAACCCCCATTGATGATACTCACGTGCCTAGAAGCTACTGAGATGCATGGCATGATTGGAGCAGACGCACCAAGGTGTTTTGGCTGGTGATGACTCGAGCTACACAGCTGCTGACCTCGCCAGAATTTCCTTTTCTTTATTTGTTTCAATCGTGGCACAAGATTATCAACTTCCAGAATCTTTTTCTCCCCAAGATTCGTTCCGGAGTTTGCCCTCGACATACGTATACCTGACCGCTAAACTTGGGGCTTGGCACTACATAGATAGAGTCTCTAGCTGAGCTTTACATTCTAATGATGGATCTACATGTATTTTTCCATGGTGCTCAACGCTACAGTCGTCATCGTCAACGCTTTGCTAAGCGCGTTCGCACCTTGATTGCTGTGGTACTGGGTCGGCTCGTGGCTGCTTCAGTAGACTTGGTTTCCATATCGTCCCTCTTGGCTGGTTCTCTATAGATGACGCAGATGCACGAATCCCTCATGGATACCAATATTCACATCACCGAGCCATTGGTTACACATATTTGGGTACTGTCACAAATCATTTATGGAAGACCTAGCTGCAGCACCAACGCTTCTACTACCACCGCTCTCGCAGGAAACCACTACGCGATAGATACCTACCCCCATAATTTCGCGCTATAATTCCCAATGCATGTGCATCAGCTAGCGCCACGATTTCAATATACCTAATGAATTTTGCGGCGACATTTCATTTTCCAAGAAAGCATGTGCTGGGGTCACGTACTTCAGTTGTGGGTGCTGGACATTCCCTCTTTTGAGTCGAAGCAAGTGTATAAAGTGCAGCGCTCTACCTCTCCTACTCTGGACATATTCTATCACAGCATACAATACAGTATACTCAGTAGACATTACTTCCTTTACATTCCCATCTTCATACACATTCACGTCTTCACAGACCATCTCCTAACATGCAGTACACCACCATTCTCCTCGGCCTTGTCGGCCTTCTCAGCCTTTCCACCGCCACGCCTATTCTCCCAAAGGCCGTTGGTACTCCTCTTGTCTCCCCGGGCCAATTCATTGCGTCTGCTGAGCCCATTGCCCCTTCCTCGATTGCTCCCGCTACCGACAACAACAACAAGGACATCAACAACGACATCAACAACGGCAACAATAACAACGACATCAACAATGGCAACAATAAAAGCGACAAGAACCAAGATAACATCAATCTTGCGCGCGCCGTCCCCGCCGAAGATAAAAAACTGGCGTGGATCAAGGTTGACGGGCACTGGGTCCAAATCAACAGTCACTGCAGCCATGACTTCGTCAAAGACGAGTACGAGAAACGACCATACATCAACAAGATCACTCGTGAATTCAAAAACCCAGGCACAGAGAGAAGGTCGGTCGCCAAAGAGTGGCTCCTAGTCGACGGGCAATGGCGCCACGTTGAGAAAAAGTGTGTCCACAACATGGGCGACGACCTGAAGACGATGGAGAATGAAGAGGACAACAAGCCCGAGGCTCCCATAACCCGGCGTCAGATTACCGCCCCTGCTAAACCATTTGTGCATTTACCGACTGTTCTTGTTCCTGAAATGAAGCATACGGATGTCTTCCAGCATCTTGCCGAAGAGCTCGCGAAGCAGTACCGGGACGCGTACGTTTTCAACAACTATAGCACCGCCAACAAGCACAACAACACCAAAACCGCCGGCCTTGACATCTTCCGCTCTCTGCTTCCAGTCCTCGAAGCGCTCCGCCACAAGGAACACGACGACAATCTCAAACACCAGAAGATACTCGCGGAACTGGTCAAGGAGATGGCAAAGTTGTACCAGGAGGACCACCATGACAAATCTGTCAATGGCACTCTTGTAACGCATCAACTTACTGTTCCCAGTGGCCTTGTGCCGATTGTGAACGGTAAGGTTATCTCTCCTCCTGGCCTTTTGGTCCCGTCTCCCTCTGACTCCGTCGTGGCGCGTGGCCTCATTGCTCCTCCTGGCCTTGTGGCTCTTCCTCCCAGGCCCTCTCCGTCTGTGGTAAAGCGAGAGCTCATCCCTCTCTCTGGCCTTATTTCTTGGACTCCCTCTGTTCCCTCTCCCTCTCCGTCCATCTCTTCCTCTCCCTCTCACTCTCCTTCTCCCTCTCCCTCCCCTCTTTCTTAAGCGTCAATGTACGCGGGTAGAGGGGGGTTGGGAAGGTGGGTGGAGTGGAGGATTTGAGTTGCGACCTGGTGTTTGGGATGGATCACCGATTATGGGATTCTGGCGTCTTGGTATGGGCTTTGGCGTCTGGGTTGAAATCTGTCTTCTAGGATTGGGTTCTTATTAGGCGTTCGGGCCATTTAAATACTTGTAGTACCACGACAAGGTGAAAAAAATAAAAATAAAGCGGGGTACCCATTACTTCGAGTTCCCTTGCCACTGGATTAAACGTGACCTGAACTTGGAATTGATTAAATGACACTTCATCATAATATGATTTCTTTTCCCTCTTCGCAGTCGCTGTCCACGCCCCATCACTACTGTCCTCTCTTCCCACTCCTTCCTTTCCCTTCCTTTCCCTTCCCGCTAGCCCCCTAATCATGCCAAACTTTCCTTCTCCCCCCACCCTCACATCCACAACCCACTAACCGTCTCGACCCCCCTCTCTACTACCGCCTTGACCCTAGCCCTCAACGCTGTATGCGCACACTCGACCTCCAAGTTCTCCAGCCAAACCCTCGCTACAAACTTATCAAAGCTGATTTCCAGCCCTGGTACCGGAATCCCAAGATTATGCAGACGTTTTAGTTCGGCGCGATCTTCAGGATTTAGGTCGACGGCATCGTCCGTGGAGGGTGCGGCGGCGACGGAGAAGGGCGTTGTTTTTGTGGCTGTGGCTGTAGTGGTAGCGGAGGATGAGATTGGGGGGAGAGAAGAGGATGATTTGGGAAGGTGGAGGGGTCGGACGTTTGATTCGCCAAATTGGGCTTCTAGGAAGAGAAAGAGGCGGGCTAAGCGGGTAGAGGGGTCGGTTGTGCGGTGGGGGTGGGGTTGTTTAAAGCGGTGGGATAGCTGGGCTTTTGTCTTTTCTTCTTCGTCGTTCCGGGAATGAGAGTGGGCGTGAGAGTGTTGTTTTGATGATTCTGTTTGTCGATATGTTAGCGTCTGTTATCACGATTGTAAGTTGGGCATGGGATGTGTATGATGGGTATGTGGAATCCAAGAGGCAGTGTCGCTTACGTCTTACAGCCGCCGGCGAACTCTCGACAGTGAAGAGGACGGCGAGAACAGCATCGGCAATACCATCGTTTATCACGTTGCCCTCCCATTCTACCTCGACTCTGCCGCCGTTCTTAACGTGCACATTTACGCAGTCCATTATTGTAAACTTTGTCTGTGTGCGACTAATCTCCTCATCTGCATGCTCCTTGCTTACGCCATTACCATTAGTATGGGCTTCCTTGCCATCAACAGCGCCATCGGTGACGTTGCTCTCGGTGATAGCACCGAATGTGCCTTCGAGCGCCCAGCGAATCAAATCGATGCCTGCGGCTGACAGCGTGATGTGTTGACGACACATGATGGTGGTGGTAGTGAGTCCAGCGTATTCCTTGAGGTCCTCGGGTGCCATGAGAGAAAGCTTAAAGTCGTTTTGGATCAGGACACCGGCGATCATGTCTAGCTTTTCACCTTCACTGTCCTGGTCATTTAGGCGTTCATCGCCGTCCGCGTCAAGGGAGCGAGGTATAGGCGGCGCGATGGAAGCCAGTTTTCCAACCACTTTGGCAATTTTGTCCGTCTTGAAAGGGATGCGGAGCTCCTCGCAATTGGCGGGGGAGTATATTTTGGTGGGGACGGACTTTTGGGCATTGAAAGAGAGGAGTTTGGAGCGAAGACGCGTCATGTTGCCCTTTTCGCCGTGCACGAGTATCTACATGGTTGGTCAGTTACTTTTTTTTATTGGAAATGCAGTGCATATTCGAGATCTGCATGGACTTACCACTACTGGTGCGGCGACTTCTTGTACAAACTCCATATTCTCTTTGCCATCGACGTGGGCGGCGAAACTGTACTCTTGGACTGTACACCTCCTGGGTATCATGGTCTGTTCACCTTCTCGTTGACCTGGCCTTCGCGAATTGTTGTTTGTCCTAGTCATGATGGCAGGGATCTGGTCTGGCTCATGGACAATCTGCTTCGCCATGGTGCCCTCAACCGAGTAACCCGTTATGATGACGCCGTTACGAGGGTCCGGTGCCCACCTCTCCAGTAATTCTCGCGATGTGCCAGATTGCATCATACCAGGGGAAGCGAGCATCACACAACCACCAAGGTCGTCAAAGCGCTCCAGACTCTTCAACGACCGGACAAATTTGAAGTCCCAAGCTCCGCGGCGACCCGTATCTCCTGCCGCTTCCGCTTCGGCCATGCGCTCTGCGAACAAACGCTTAATATTGTCGTTCATGGCGGAGACGTATGTTTGATAGACTTGCATACATTTCCGGGCTAGACTGGAATTGTAGTAAATGGGTATCTTCTGGACTTCTGGGTGCTTGCTCCAGTACTCATCCAAGATGAGCAGCAGCTCCTGAGCTCTTCCCAGGGCGAATACGGGCAGCAAAGCACGGCCACCTCGATTGAGGATATCTGTAATGGCTTTCATGAGCTGAGCCTCTCGCTCTACTCGCGGTGTGTGCATGGAGATGCCGAATGTGGACTCGGTGATGAGAACGTCGACTTTAACGCCGGCTGGAACTGAGGCAGACACCAAATGTCGATCGTCTTCTCGCGAATAGTCTCCTGTGAACAAGATCTTCAGACCTGCAATCTCCATTAAGAACATGGCAGCTCCAAGAACGTGGCCAGCAGGGTATGGCGTGATGCGGACGCCAGAGACTGTGTGCGTGGTGTAGAAATCAATGGATTCGATCATTGGGTATGTGTTGAGATGGTCTTGCTCTGTGTACATCTGGATCTTGGTTTCCGAATTGCTCGACATATTGCCAACGCGGACAGAATCCTGGATGAGCCATTTGTAGATGGCTTTGGTAGGATGTGTCATGAAGACGCGGCCTTTGAAGTTGGTCTTGGCGAGGACGTATGGGAGTGAAGCCGCATGATCGACGTGGAAACTATGCAGTTGAGTCAGTGTTGCGTGTTACTGGGTATGCGATGGATAGTACTAGGGTTCCAGAGGAGGGCTATATACATGCTTTGGGGCTGACGGCAGGGCACATCACCGGAGTCGGGAGAGGGAGATGCAAAAGATATTCCATTGATTCTGATGATATACATGATGGTGAAAGACTGCCACTTGGGCGCTCCAGTCCGGCTCCCGTGATGCGCCCATCTCCTCCAATTGCAGCAAGCATGGTGGAATGCATAGATACATACTGTGATATCAGGAGCACGTCCACGGTGCTCAGGTCGAACTCATCGTAAAACGGCATGGCAGACAAGCCTTCATAGGCCGGATGCATGCCGGCATCAAGCTAATCTGTATTAGCAGTCTGGAAGCCATGGGCGGTTTTGGCATATGCGCACCATGACGGTCTTGCCCTTGTACTGGATGATGTGACATGATCGGCCAACCTCGTTGCCGCCGCCCAAGCAGAGGAACAGGAGCTCGTCAGACGGGTCTATGGGTTCTTCATCCTCAGGCGCCATGGCCGCAGCCTTTCTCTTGGACGTCATGGCAGATGATTCCTGAGTGCGTCGAGGTGTGGCTACGACTGTGATAGGTAAGGATGAAAGGGAGGGGGGGGGAGAGAGAGGTGAGGGGGAGGGGGGTAAATTGAGGTGTTGAGAGGATGGGAATGGTCGCCAACTATGAGAAATGGGATTATCTATCTAATTAGTTGGGTGGACGAGGGCTAAACGAGGAGGGTGTGTGAGCAGAAAGACCGAGAGAGAAAAGGAGAAGGAGAGTGGGAAGAGAGAGAGGGAGAGAGAGGGAGAGAGAGGGAAAGTATGATGGTTTGGGGTGGGCGGTTCGCGAGGCCCAAGGTTGTTGCTTTGTCGAGCGCGTCTGCCAAGGCGCCAGCCGCTGTCCGTGCGCATAGCCCTCGTCCGCCACCAGCTCCAACTTCCTCTTGGGCACGTCTTTGGGGTGCGAGACAGACTTTATGGCCAATTCACTGCACGCGCCTGCACGCCGCCTATCCACCCGCGCCTGTCCTCGCGCATAATCGCATCACCGCCCGCCCCGCCCATTGCCATCCACCGCACCGCGCCGTCCGTCGAGAGAAGCCAAACACCACCATCCATCGCCGCCGTCGCTGTCGCCGTCGCCAGAGTCGCCGCATGACTGGGCGACAGATAGAATAGCAGCCGCGCCCGCTGAACTCCCCACGGCCATCGGGGGACGAGGCCGAGTCGAGTTGCCTGCCCAGTCGCCCGCATCGTCGCCGCCGCCATGGCCTACCCCAACTACAACCAGCAGTTCCCCCACCAGGGCCAGCCTCAGCCTCAGCCTCAGCAGCAGCAGATACAGCAGCAGCCGCCGCAACCACAGCAACATCCCCTACAACCACCACAACACCAGCAACAGCAACAGCAGCATGGCCAGACACAACCGCACCTCCAGCATCAACCACCGCCCCTACCGCCACAGGTGCAGGTGCAGACGCAGAACCTCAACATGGCCCACACCCACGCCCAACCCCAGCGCCCCTTCTCGCCCTCGCCTTACCAACACTCGCCTACCAACATGTCGCCCACTATGGGCAGTGGCATTCCCCCAGCGAAGCGACAGCGACTATCCCCCAATCCGCCATCGCCCGCACCCTATCAGTCGCCTTTTGGAGCGCCCACATATCCCCCCTCGCCCTACGCTACATCCCCCCAGTCAACCCCCTACCCGACCCCCTCTCTCCCAAACTCACCCGCCGCTATGCAACCACCGCCCTTCCACCAGCCCCAGCCTTACCAGCATCCAAATGCTCAGCCTGCCGCGCCACAGGGCTCCATGCCACCACCAAAGGTGCCCTACAGCAAAACAGGCGACACCTCAGAGCTGGAAAAGGCGAATGCGCGAGATCTGGATGTCAACAACATCAGCGATGTGCTCACAGGATCAGGCATTGATTTGCGCGCCGAAGAGGACAATCTGCTGCTGAGCTACAGGAGCTTCAATTCGCAAGGAACGGGCACCTCGGGCACCCCACATGGGAGTTTCAATTGGAGTCAGCAGGGCAGTCACGGCGCATTTCAAGGGACTGGGCAATTGAGTCAGCCCATGACGCAAGAGCAGCACGAAGCCGAGTTCCTGCGAAAGCATGAACAGGCCGCCCGCATACTCAACGAATCGGCCCAGCAACCGCTCACGGACCCCTTCCTGCAGGCCAATGTGCTAAGGCACCGCATCGCCAAACGCGCATACGAACATGGAATCACAGTCAATGTCGATGGCTTGTTCGACAAGATACCGGACAAGACACCTCGCGATGTCACGCGCACGGCGTTGGCGGCCGCAAACGGTGAGCAGGTTGTCGGCCTCGAGGCTGCCAGTCTACTGAACCAGAATGCGCCTCTGGTGGAAATTCTGTCACTGCTATCGCTGGCTGCTGAAGAGCGCGTGCGGACACTTGTCGAAGACGCCTTCGCGCTCAGTCAAGGCCGCCAAAATACCTCTCATGGTCTCATCCCGCCGAACCTTGTGGACATTGCTGTTGTAGACAAAAATGCCGAGCAAAAGATGGCAGTCCCAACCAATATCCTCCGCACGCCGTGGGAAGCACCCGACAGCGCCACCAGTCCCACGGCGACGGCCAACAAAGGCATGTCTCATGTGCTCACGCTCATACGCACAACACTGCTAACACGTCCAACCAGGAATACCCAATGCAACCCGGCTCCCTACACCCCCCACCGAAGTTCCCCCTACGCCACTGCCCACTTTCAAAAACACTACTAACCGCGTCGCTGCTGCTCTGATTGCACGCGCCAAAGCCGATGAAGAGTATGAGCGTGAGCGCCTTCGAAAACGTCAGAAGCGGGCACAGGGCACTGGAACAGGAGGCGGTACACCGGCCGATACCCCGATCGCACCTTTGCCCCTCCCCGAACCGCTCACGAAGAAAGCGCAAGCGGCAGCGAAGAAGCAGAATCAGAGCGATGCGGTCGTGTTTGGCAAGGCGAATGAAACGGCGCAAATGGCGATTGGAGGCCGGAAGAAGAAGTATGCGTGGATGAGCGGGGGTGGAGGCGGGGGTGGAGGTCTGGGATCCGGCGCCAATACACCGAAGGCGGCGACGGCAACAGCCAACACAGCTGCAGGTAGTGGGACGGCGACACCAGCAGCACCCGCAACGGATAAAGCGCTGCTAGCTAAGAAAAGGACGTTTGGAGCTGCGATTGAGGAAACAGACATTGGGGCCAAGATCCAGGTTCGCGACTTCGTGCACGTCCTTGAGCTGGATGGCCGGGAGAAGAAGAGTCTTTGCTTGATTCTGGCGCGAATGAAGAGCACAGACAAGGATGAGAAGAAGGCGGAATTGGATAGGAGGTTGCCAAGTGCGGCTGGTACACCCGGTGCTCCAGCTGCTGTTAGCTAGTACTGCTAGTACTGCTAGTACTGCTGCTGCTGCTGCTGTATGAAGATGAGGCTATCTATCTATCATCATCATCATCTATGAGTGGAAATATATAAAAAAAAACAAATCAAGAGCAGACCAAGAAGAGGTGGTAATAGGAAGCAGGGCGCCGGTCCTTGGCCTTTCCCTCGTACGATGGAAGTTGAGCAAAGCACGAGATTCCTTTTCTTCCTTTTCTTTTTCTTTCTTCATCTCTTCTCCTAATACCAAGCGTCATTTGGACCGCGCATGGGAGCGAGGAGATTACTTTTTTTTAGCGGGGCTCCATGTGTAGGATTATGACAAGGGGACCTCTGTCCTTTTTCTATCTCATCCTCTTTCTCTTCTTCTTCTTCTTCTTCTTCTTCTTCTTCTTCTTCTTCTTCTTCTTCTTCTTCTTCTTCTTCTTCTTCTTCTTCTTCTCTCTTCTTGCCTGCGCTTGCTCTGTGCGTGCGGGTGTGTGGGGGGGGGAGGGGTGACAGGCTCAAGCCCTGAGGTTAGGGTAGTTGCGACTTCAGCAAGCATCATCATCATAGCATCCCCAAGGGCTGGGGTTAAAGTTTACATAAGCTTTGTCATCACAGCGTCTGAAGTTGGTGTCCCCATCTTGTTCAATCTATCATTCTACCGATACAAATCATATAAGTACAAGTGCGATGATCAAGACTTTGTACACCACATGAGTTATAATTATACCGAACAAGTATAGACATGGTCATGGTTGATACCGAGTTGAGTTGAGATGTTTTGGTCATGGAGAGAGCTCCGTCGATTTGTGCAGCTATTCCTTACCTAGCTACCCCCTCCCTCTCCTACTGTTACATATATAGCCTCCATGTCTAGGGTAAACACAAGTGAGAATAAAGCAGAAAAGTTTTCTAACAAAAAAGCTGCTGCATAGACGCATACACACGTCAAGAGTGAGCTCCTCAAACTCTATAAGCCACACCTGTCCCAGCCCTATGCAAACAAAGAACAAACCTTTTTTCCCTTTTCACACAGTGGTGGCTGTCCTCATATCATTCCTCCTCTCGGATAATCTTACAAGATCTAGTTGGTCTTGGAGATCTCTACGCCGCCAGTGGCGCCTAGTGCCTTCTTGATATCGCCTGTTGTCGCCATGTCAGCTTTTATAGAACAATGGGTGGTGTCACGAGAACTTACCGTAGATGGCGAACTGTCCAGCAGTCAGGGTACCAACCATGAACAGACGGGCACCGATACCGCTGAAGGATCCCTTGAGGCCGAGCTCCTTGGCGATCTTGATCAAGCGGCTGGTGGTTCCCTCTCCGGGCAGACCCTTGCTCTTGTTGATCTTGGAGAGCATGGTGTCGGCGGGCTGGGAGATGATGGCGGCGGCGAAACCAGCAATGATACCGGAGGACAAGTTGTAGACAGTCTGCATGCCATTGCTGGTCTTGTTCTTGTCGACGATTTGGTAGATGGCTTCGTTGACCTTCTCGAAGACGGCGAACTTGGCCATGGTGTAGGGGACCCTAGGATATGGTCAGTGAGCCATTGCAGGCGAGGATACATGTGCAAACACATACTGCTTGAAAAGGATAGGACCGAATCCAGAGTAGAAGGCACCCACACCCTCGTTCTTGAGGATCTTGCCGAAGCCACCGATCAAGCCATTGGCAAAGGTGGGCTCCGAGACGAGACGGATACGGGTCGCCTCGAGTGGGCAGAGGGCGATGTCAGCGAAGAATTCGGCGCAAGCAGCAGAGGCGAGGTAGACGGCAGTGCGGTTGTTGCTGGCCGTCTCGTAGCCGAGCAGGTTGATGGACTGCTGCTTGAACAGCTCGTATCCTCCGAACTTGAAGGCACCCTGGAGGAAGTAACCAGCGGCCGTGGGACCGAGACCGGTCAACAGCGCACCAGCACCATCCTTTGCAATGATTTGCCTGAAGCCACCGACGAGGCCGGAGTTGTAGGTGACGGGATCGAGTTGTATCCTGGTCTTGACGCTGCGAGGAAGGAAGGAAGAGATTAGCTTGGCACACAGACACACACAACTGGCGTCATTGTGGGCATGGCTGGCTGGCTAGCAGCCAGCACCGGTCGCAGGTCGCATTTACTAAAAAATTGTGTGCGAAGCGACCGAGGACATGCATGGCCGCGCCGTGACAGCAGCACACCGCGGGGGAAGAGAGCATGAGAGAAAGTACGTACACATCGACAGGTGTGAGGGCGCCGTGGGTGACAGAGCAGCAGACGGCACCAGCGAAGGCGAATCGCGCATACAAGTCGACGCCCGTGGGAGCGGTAGGCTCAAGCTTGGCCGCAACGGCAGCCTTTGCGGCGTCCAGCTTGGAGGAGCCGGTGGAGGTGGGAGGGGGAGAAGTCGACATGATCGCTGCTGATCTCGGGGGATCGATGGAGCGAGGATTGGGGAGAGGGGAGAGGGGAGAGGGGATATCTTTTCATTGCTTCTTAATTTATTACATGCCTATATATTAATTAATACGCGCCTATAGCGTCTATACGCTTATTTTAGCACTCTACTATCAAAGTTCTATTATAGCTATCCTACCCTATTTTAAATTTCATCAACTTACTTTATTATATAGTAGATTTTGCCGACTAATTAGCCCTCTCTCTACTCTTTCTCGGTTAGGCCTGCCTATCTATCCT